CCAACCAAGAATACTCTATCCCGCAAAGCTCTCCTTCCTCTATGAAGAAAAAATAAGGACCTTCCCAGACAAACAGAAACTCTGGAATTTCATTACGACTAAACCCCCACTCCAAAAAATACTACAAGGAGTCCTAAAGCCAGAACCTCAGAAGGACGCATAACAACGAAAGAAGCCCCAAAAAAAAAAGTTATTCAAAGAATAAATAAATAAAATCAAACGAAAGACAAACACAATAGCAAATACAGATGCTAACATATCAATATTAACTCTAAATGTAAATGGACTAAACTCTTCAATAAAAAGACACAGAGTTGCAGCCTGGATTAAGAAACAAAACCCAACCTTTTGCTGTCTCCAGTAAACACATTTAGCTACAAAAGATAAAAATAGACTCAAAGTTAAAGGATGGAAAACAATCCTACAAGCAAATGGACCAAAAAAGAAAGCAGGAACCGCTATACTTATATCAGATAAAACAGATTTCAAACTCAAAAAAATAAAAAGAGACCCCAGTGGTCACTATATTATGATCAAGGGGACAACACTTCAAGAAGAAATAACACTCATTAACATATACTCACCAAAAGAAGGAGCACCAAAATATATCAGACAACTGTTGTCATCTCTGAAAACAGACATCAGAGAAAGCACATACGTAGTGGGAGACTTCAGCACACCACTATCAACAACGGATAGATCAACAAGACAAAAAATAAGTAAAGAAACTAAAGCTCTAAATAAGGACCTAGAGCATTTGGGTTTAACAGACATCTATAGAACACTAAACTCCAAAAAAACAGAGTACACATTTTTCTGAAGCGCACATGGATCATTCTCCAGGATCGATCACATACTGGGGCACAAGACAAACATCAACAGATACACCAAGATTGAAATCATACCAACCATCTTTTCTGACCATGAAGGCATCAAGCTAGAAATAAACCATAAAAAGAAGGCAAGGAACTTTCCTACCTCATGGAGATTAAAAACCACACTACTGGAAGACCACTGGACTAATGAGGAGATCAAAGAAGAAATTAAAAAATTCTTTGAATTGAATGACAAGGAGGACACCAATATCCTAAATGTATGGGATGCAGCAAAAGCAGTAATAAGTGGAAAATATATAGCAATAGAAGCTCACATCAAGAAACAAGAAAGAACTCAAAGAAACAACCTAATCTCGAAGCTCAAAGATCTAGAAAAAGAACAACAAAAAAAACCCAAAACCAGTAGAAGAAAAGAAATAATAAAAACCAAAGCAGAAATAAAATTTAAACTAAAAAAACATTCCAAAAGATCAATGAAACCAAGAGCTGGTTCTTCGAAAAAATAAATAAAATAGACAAACCCCTAGCCAGGCTCACAAAGGACAAAAGGGAGAAAGCACAAATAAACAGGATCATCAATGAAAGAGGAGAAATCACAACGGACACAGCAGAAATCAAAAGAATAATCAATAACTACTATGAACAGTTATATGGAAACAAGTTCAACAATCTAAAGGAGATGGACAAATTCCTACAACTCTACAATCACCCAAAGCTAGATAAAGAAGAAATAGAACACCTAAACAGACCAATTACAAGCAGCAAAATTGAAATGGTAATCAAAAACCTCCCCCAAAACAAAAGCCCAGAACCTGATGGATTTACAAATGAATTCTACCAAACATTCAGAGACGAATTAGTGCCTATCCTTCACAAACTCTTCCAAAAAATTGAGAAGGAAGGGATAATACCAAACACGTTCTATGAAGCCAACTAACACTAATACCAAAACCGAACAAGGACAACACAAAAAAGGAAAACTACAGGCCAATCTCCCTAATGAACACTGATGCAAAAATCCTCAATAAAATTTTAGCTATCAGAATCCAACAATGTATCCATAAGATAATTCACCACGACCAAGTAGGATTCATTCCAGGGACACAAGGATGGTTTAACATCCAAAAATCAATCAACGTTATCCAACACATCAACAAAAAGAAATATAAAAAACATATGATAATATCAATAGATGCCGAGAAAGCTTTTGACAAAGTGCAACACCCATTCATGATAAAAGCCCTTGAAATTCTTGGGATACAAGGAACATACCTCAACATCATAAAGGCCATATATGACAAGCCAACAGCCAGTAACATTCTCAATGGTGAAAAGCTGAAAGCATTCCCATTAAGATCTGGAACAAGACAAGGATGTCCACTCTCACCACTGCTTTTCAATATAATACTGGAAGTCCTAGCCAGAGCAATAAGACAAGAGAAAGACATACAAGGAATCCAAATAGGAAAAGAAGAAGTCAAACTATCACTATTTGCAGATGATATGATAATATACATAGAGAACCCCAAAAACTCCACAGAAAAACTAATTCAACTCATCAAGCAGTTCAGTAAAGTGGCAGGATACAAAATCAACACGCAAAAGTCAGTAGCCTTCCTATACACAAACAATAAATCTGAAGAAGAGGAAATAAAAAAACCATCCGTTTTATTATCGAAACAAAAAAATCAAATATTTGGGAATAAATCTAACAAAAGAGGTAAAGGACCTATACAAAGAAAACTATAAAACACTGTTAAAAGAAATAGAAGAAGACACAAAGAAATGGAAAGACATACCCTGCTCATGGATTGGAAGAATAAACATTATTAAAATGGCGATCCTACCAAAAGCAATATACAGATTCAATGCTATTCCAATCAAAATTTCAATGTCATTCTTCAAAGAAATAGAACAATTATTGATGAAATTCATATGGAATCACCAAAAACCCCAAATAGCCAAAGCTCTCCTGAAAAAAAAGAAAGGAATGAAGACATCACACTCCCAGACTTCAAACTATACTACAAAGCCATTATCATCAAAACTGCATGGTATTGGAACAAGAACAGACATACAGACCAATGGAATTGAATAGAAAATCCAGAAATAAACCCACAGATTTATGATCAACTAATCTTTGACAAAGGAGCAAAAACTATGCATTGGAGCAAAGAAAGTTTGTTCAACAAATGGTGCTGGGAAAACTGGGTCGCTACATGCAAAAGAATGAAGCTTGACTACTACCTCACACCATACACAAAAATCAACTCAAAATGGATTAAAGAACTAGACATAAGACCTGAAACCATAAAATACATAGAAGGAAATATAGGCGAAACACTACGTGATATTCACATCAAAGACATCTTTACAGACACATCACCCAAAGCAGTGATAGTGAAGGCAAAGATAAACAGCTGGGACTACATCAAATTAAAGAGCTTCTGCACAGCAAAAGAGACAATAACAAAAACAAAGAGAAACCCCACCAATGGGAGAACATTTTTGCACCCAACACTAATGATAAAGGACTGACCACAAAAATCTGCAAAGACCTGATGAGACTCAACAACAACAAAGAAAATAATCCAGTCCAAAAATGGGCAGAAGAGCTAAAAAGAAACTTCTCTGAAGAGGAAATGCAAATGGCCAACAGGCATATGAAAAAATGTTCAACATCACTTGTCATCAGGGAAATGCAAATCAAGACTACCATGAGATACCATCTTACACCAGTGAGAATGGCACATATTAAAAAAACTAGCAACAACAAATGTTGGCGAGGGTGTGGAGAAAAAGGATCTCTTCTGCACTGTTGGTGGGAGTGCAAACTGGTCCAACCACTATGGAGAGCTGTGTGGAGATTTCTGGACCTACTAAACATAGAGCTTCCATATGATCCAGCAATTCCACTGCTAGGTATTTACCCAAAGGACACAGAAACATCAATTCCAAAGAGCACCTGCACCCCTATGTTTATAGCAGCACTATTTACAATAGCTAAGCTTTGGAAACAACCCAAATGCCCAAAAATAGATGACTGGATCAAGAAGATGTGGTACATATATACCATGGAATATTACTCAGCATTCAAAAAAGATAAACACATGCAATTTGCAGCAACATGGATGGCGCTGGAAGGGATCATGCTCAGTGAAATAAGCCAAAAAGAAAAAGAAAAGTACTGGATGGTCTCACTCATAGCAGGAATCTAGAAAACTTAAATAAGGGACCAGGAAAATGAATAACTATAAGAAAGTGAAAATCAAAATCAACAAACAACCATGAACCAGAGACACACTTTGCCGGGGGGGGAAGGAGGGATTGGGGTCAAAATCAGGGGGTTGCAATTGTATGGGGAATATAAAAATAAAAAAATAAATTAAAAAAAAGTCTCCGCTCTTGAGCTTAAGGAATGTTTGTTTCCCTCATTTGTTAAATACACCCCATTGTTGTTGTTCCCTGAGCCTGAGTAGTCGTGCGATTGTGTGTGGGGGTGAGGAACCCACAGACACGGACCTGCTCCCTAAGGGCCCTGTCTTCTGTGCCTGCTGTAGCACCCACAGCACACCCTCCCATCAGTGAGGACTGGCCTGCCGGCTGTGGTTTAGGCTCCGGGGAGAATGTGCTAGAGGCTTGTATGGACCCCTGTGCTCCCCCCACCTAGAGGACAGCGACAGCGGTTAATGCCAGACCTTGGATACAGTCTGGAATACAATGCCAGACCTTGGGATACACCTCATCCATCGTGTCTCAGGGAGAGGCAGGTGCAGTTTTCTGACTATGAAGCAGAGTCTGCCCGGGCTCAGGGAAAGCAACGGTGCCACAGACCTGGGCTAATTTTAAATCAGCCACCAAGTGGGAGCCATGACCATGGATTTCTGCCACAGGAGCACTGGGTCCCGCTCTGGGCCACCCAGTGAGTACCAGAGTGGCCCACCAGCCATGACAACACAGTCACTGTCCTTTATTTGACAGGTGATGATGGTGACACCATCCCATAGCCCTGGGCTGCTGGGTGGGGCCTGTTGGGAGTGGTTTCGTCTGCTCCCAAATTGGGGTGCACAAGTGCTGGTAAGTCGATGATATTATATGACCCACAGGAGCCAAGTTTTCATGGAGCCTTCTCTGAGGAGGGCCCACTTCTGGGAACTGGAACCCCTTTTGTGCCTTAGAACCCCTTCTGTAAGGATTGCACCTGTGGACTGGTCCTGGCTGCAATTTGTTCAGGAAACACAGGACATTACCCCACTCAGGGTGTCTCAAGTGTAACCTGGCACCATGGGGACCCGCCACCCCACCGGGGGGCGGCAGAGGGCGCTCTTCTGTGCACCGACCTGCTGTGACTAGGACACCGCTTGCCAATGCCAGCAGAGAACAGGAGCCAAGGACAGCAAGGACCAGCTCAGAGTCTAGAGGTGAATCCATTTTCCACACCAGGGCCGATCCGGGTGACCGTCCACCCCTCTGTGTCCACACCTAAGACGAAAGAGCCAGTTCCCAAAGGGTTCACCAGCCTGAACTCAAGATCAGTAAGCACAGCCCGAGGGCGAGGGTTCCTTCCTGTTCCAGGCATACGGTGGCGCTGGCGAGCTGGGAGGGACTGTGGGCCCCACTAGACCCATCTACAGGGTAGGCATCGGGGTAACTTCCCCTGCCCCTCTCTAGGGGCACCCCAGGAATAGGGTGAAGCATTAGGAAGATGCCCACACAGGACAGGGCTCAGGAGCTCCTGATTTCTAGAAACTTGGGAGCAGGGTGCTCATTTATGCCAGGAGGCCTGATTCTTCGTGTCATGACGAACTTGCAGAGATGGGTGGAGAGAGCATCCACCCCTTGGACCCCAGGGAAGTTGTCCCCACACAGAGGCTCCACAGGGGTGAGCATGTCCTAGGGATGCTGTATGGAGCATCTCAGGTCTCTGCTCCTCCCAGAGCCCCAACAAAATCCCTGGGAAGAGGTGCTCTCCCCACCGGGTGTCTGCCACACCCATAGTCTCCACAGTCACAGACACCCCCAACTCAGAGTCTGGCCCACTAGGAGGTGCCCAGAGATGCCATCAATTTGCCCTCACAGGAGGCTGGTCCTGATCCCCGGGCCCATGGGGGCCCACCTCAGGGCGGTTTGTAAAGGAAGATGCTGTGCCAGGTGGCAATGAGTGCCCAAGCCCCAGATCCCTACAAAAGCTCTCACCCTTTCAGGTTCTTAGGCCCTCTACTGCCCCCTTCTCTCCTGGACCCTCTCCCGCCCCCACACAGTGAAGCTGGGGCTGCCCTAGCCTAGAGTGAGGGGCTTCTTTGCAAGGAAAGGATGGAGCCAAGTCTATGTCTCGTGTGTTACAAGGATAGGCCCAGGGGCCCTGTGGATGCAGGGGCAGGGCTAGGGGTTCTGGCAATTCTTTTCTTGATTTTATTGGAATTAGGTCAAAAATAGTTTCTGAGCGGGGCTCTTATTAGCAAAATTCACCGTGACAGTTAGAATGTGGACGTTTCAGCATCTTAGGGGCCTGGAGATCTTCCTCTGTGATTCCCCCTGCTGGTGGGGCAGACAGATCAGTCCTTTCCATGTGAATTTATCCAATTTCCCTCCCATGAATGTGCTTTTGGGGTCAGACCTAAGAACTCTTCACCTAGTGCTGGATCCTGACAATGTTCCTTTGGGTTACTCTAAGAGTTTATGGTTCTACATCTCCCATGTAAACCCATGATCCACTTGCAGTTTCCCTTTGTGTGAGAGGTGAGGGGGTCAGTCTCAGTCCCCAGGGTGGGGCTGGGGTGGAGCTGCAGGAGCTGGCAGGGCCCTCATTGGGGAGATGCAGCTGTACCTGAAATAACAGAATGAAATGGGGACAGCTGGAATATAAATGGGGTCATGGGGGACTCTCTCACTGGTGTGGACTGCAGACATGAAGTTCTGTCTATTAACTAATCACAGTATCTTCATGTTTCCCTGCACAGATGACTGTTCATCAAGAATCTGACTCATCTGGGATGTTTGTTTGAACCTGATGCTTTCAGAAACAACCACTGGAGTTTTTCAATAGAAAAGGAAGAAAATCAAAACCCCGCCAAGTTAATGGAAGTGAAGACCCAAAAGGGTTGCACTTACAAGGGAAATTATAAATTTAGTTTTGGATAGTAGTTTTATTAGTGAAGTTATTTCTGCACTATCAGTCAGACATAAACTCTAAGAATGACCTTGTATTTCTACAGCCTCTAAGGGGAACACAATCTGCCTAAGAACAGGATGCTGCCAGAGGAGTTGTGACGAATCATGAAGATGAATGGATGGTCGGCAACGAAATCTTCCACTGGCCCCAGACTGCTGGTCTTGGAAACAATTGCTGTGGCGGCTGCTGCCTCTGTGCCCTCCTCACTCACCTCCACAAAGGACTTGTGAATAATTTTTGATACGAAAATATCTCTGGTTTCTGTCATGCCAGACAGATCAGCCTTGCTCCTGCTAAAGAGATCTTCCACACCCATGCGAGCCAGGTGGGGCTTGAGATCATAGGTCTCTTCCAGCTTGAATTTGGGCAAGTGGATGCGGACATCCGTATGACCCATATTCTCAGGCTTGGTCCACTCACACAGTTTTTCCAGAGTCAACTGTTGCTCAATCTGGAATTAGAATGTGCAAAGAGAATACAATTTTATATAGGCAAAATACTAAAGCGTTATTTAAATAACAGACTCAGAACCTCATTGCTAATTTGTTTTGTTCATGTTTTGTGCCAGTACTTTCCAGCATTTGGGATAACGAGAGAGTGATGTGTTGCAAGTCATCAAAGGCCCAAATAAGAGGGTTTCATCACATCCATCAAACAACCATCCACCAGTCTCTCCATCCACTCACCTGTCCATTGATATATGGCACGCCATCCATACACACACCCAACCTTACATACCTACCCCCTCTCTACCTACTCGTCCATGACTTAACAACATCCTGCCATACTGGATCACTCTGATGGACCCTGAAGGCTATCATTACCATGAAGGTGATATTACATGTTAGTAATTGGTTAGTGGTGTAAGGGAAAAATATAAAAGTTTTCTTCTACTTATTCTGTTGTATTTATTCTGAACCCCATTAATCATTGTGGTGATCTGTGAACGACACAGAGGTGAAATAATCTCTAATATATTCAGCTCAGAGGTAAAAATAAATAAGGTCCTAATTCCTTATCTAAAGAGGGGTTCATTATGGCATTTACATTATAATGTGGTCATTAGCATTAAATGAGTTGGGACATAGTTAGGGCTATGTAAATGTGAGATGCCATTTAAAAAACAATTTAAAAAAACAATTTAATAATACAACCCTCAGTCTGTAAAACTCTTAAGAGAGCTTGCTGAGCTGCCACTGACCAGCATTACACTAGGGTTGGTCTTCACATGGTCCCCATCACGTTCACTGACATTCCCTGAAATTTTAAACATAGGACTCCCAGCTGGTAAATGTGATGGGCTAGATTACAAAAGATTGGGAAAGTGAGCAACATCAGTAAAGGCATAATAAGCACTGACCACTCAGCACACACAGGAGGACTCACACAGGAAAGGAAAGGAAAGAGAAGGACGAAATGCGGGAGCATCACCTTCTCCAGCCCTGTGGACTCGTCCTCCATGTCATCGGGCAGCAGGATGACCATGCTGAGCTCCTCACCCTTGTATGGCAGTTCCAGCACGCGGCTCTGGAGCTCCTGGATGTAGCCAAATGGAAGATATTTCTTCTGGTACATCATTTTCACTATCTTTGTGTCTTTCTGAAAGGTTGGAGGACAAATCGCTCATTATTATCTGCATTCTTGTAGAGCAAAGAGGACGTTTTCTCTTGTAGAGCAAAGAGACCGTGCATGGGCTCACCTTATTCAACCTGAATGGGGCATCCCTTGTTTCCTCTTTTCTGAATTCATCCTGCCAGGTGCCTTTGAAGTAGATGGCATTCACCAGCACAAGCTTAGTCATGCTATGCACCATACTTGCAGCCAACAGTTCTGGAATCTTCCCTAAAAAAGGTACAGCAATTTTTTTTTTTTCTAACTCCACATCTCCAAACTCCAACTCTGTACTGATTTTGTTCAGCACTGAAATGCAATTCAAATGTATCTTTTTCATTTCATTTCTATTTAACATGGTACTAAGGTAAGAACACCCTGGGCATGTTTGACTGCACCAACTCACTAGGGTGATAGAATGACGCAACCATCCCCCAGGGTCCACACTTCGATACGAGTCTAACGTGCTAACTGGTGGTAGACAAGAAAATGCCCCTTTTCTGGAGTGTGATCGCAAGGAGTCTTGTTAGTGAATGGCCATTCTGTTGCAGGACAAAAATATAAAGTCTTGCATGACAATGTTTTGAGTCACTAGTAAGCCAGTCCTTCTTCAAATCCGCTAGGTGGCAGCAACCTTCAAAATATGCAAAGGCAGGATGGTTCCTCCACTGAATTGCAGGCTCCATCAAGCAAACCCTCACACATGCCAGGTGTCTGTAGATGCCTGCTTTCATTCCATGACCGGGGGAGAGACAGATGCCCAGCTGGACGCCACATCCACCCGCCACGCCTACCCCTAAGCCAGAATGCAGGAAAGAGGTTCATGACCCAGAAGTGTGTGAGCCCCGATTCACAATCTCAGGTGTATTAAATCATTTGGACTTGGCTTGATTTCCCCTTCTATGCCCCCAATTTTTATTCCCTTTATTGTACAGGTAATATTAGCTTTAACTTTAAAATGTTGTGGGAGAAAATATTTAGCTGCTTTGGTAGAACCGTGTCCAAGTTTCCACTGCAAGGAATTTCTATGTTTGATATCTATTCAGCACTGGAAATGGGGGTACACCCCCTGAGTGAAGTCAGGAGCAGGAGGTAGGGAGAGGGTGTCGAGAGGGCACCCCATGCAGGTGGGAAGCTGAAGACACCGAGGCAGGACCCTGTGCTAGGACCACACTGACTCCACCCTCTTACCTTCCGTTTGTCCTTTGACCCAGGCATTGATCACCTTCCTGGCACCTTCAGAGTTGCCCTGGAAATCCACACTGGCCAGCTCAGCACCATACAGTTCCTGAGTTGACGCTAGGAACTCCTATTAAAAAAAAAAAAAGAAATGTTATGAATGACTCTTACTGTATACAGAAGTTGTTTTCTAAGATCTTTAGAAGCAATAGAAATTGACCTCAAAGGCATCCATTTCCTTATAATGTAAAGATTCTAACCATTTTTTTAATATGGGAAAAAATACATAACATGATATTATTCAACGTAACCATTTTTAAGTGTAAAGATCAGTAAGTTTAGCATTGTATAAAATACCCAATCTTTCCTAACACTCATAAATAATGAATACTGACTGCACTTGGAAGTGAATGATGGCTTGGAAGTCACTCTTGCTTTAACCAGTCAGGACTACAACTTCACCTGGAAGAACAGCATGAAATAACAGCCTTTAAAGAGAACATCGTCTGTTACCTATTTCCATTCTTTATTTTTTCTGAATATTTATAAAAATTAGAAGCGACTTCTAAGACTTCATTTTGCTGGGGGAAAACATGCATTGTCTTATGAATTTTATAACATGAGGCAGAAAGTACTTACAGGGAGGAAATTATAGGTTTTCTCTCCGTATAACCTATTAGCCAGTTTCAGCACATAGGAGGTGTCAGGCTTGTTGACAGCAGCCATCAGACTCTGAAATCTGGAATGAACCTTCTCAACCCCGTCAAAATGAAGAGTCTAAAATGAAGAAAACATTTTCTATAAACATTTACTTTGAAATTATAAAGTGATTTCCAGGTGTTTGCTTCCATCAGAGGAATGTGTTGTCATTACTAAGCACTGAGGACCCCAGGTAGCACCTTCTGAGTCTTTCATTGGAGAACAAATGATGGAGAACCCTAAACTGACAGCTTTGTGAGACCTAATCATCCCACATTAGACACTGTTTCTATATCACTTTCTTGGGTTATAATTCTAGTTCCACAAATATGAGTGTTTAGGTAAATAAATATTTCTACATGTCTTCCTTTTCCCCAAGAAAGTAATAAATGGTGTGTTCACATGTACATGCAACTCTAATTTTGCATCATTATATAATTTTATCAAATATAATTTTTCTAAAAGTTCTGAGAAATAAACAGTAAAAGCAGAAATCATCACCTCTGCAGGAACACAAAGATATTATGGGTTGAGGGGTTTTCTTTAACTACTCTTGAGCATCAGTAACTCACTTATATAAAAAACACTTCTTTAAACATGACATTTAGGAAATGTCTAATTCCCCATATATGAATTGCAAATCAAGAATTATTTTATAGTTCTATGAGGCCTGAGCTGTGCCTGGCTTTTAAGACAGAGAAGAGCAAACCCACACAGTGCACAAGCCCGGGTATTCACGGAGTGGGATGCTTGCCTAGTGCTGTGAGCCATCTGTTTTAATGGAAACGGAGCAGAAGGCTCTTAAGGCCATTTTTGCTGAGGTCAGACAGCCCCTGGGTAGCCTCAGAATTAGAGGCTGATGTGACCTTTTAAGAAGCAAATTCAAATTAGTACTAGTTCGCGCTGTGGAGTCTTGGAAACTTAAAAAGGCTTTTCTATCTGTGGTTCTGCAGATGCAGGTCTCATTCACTTAGAGATGTTTCCATTAAATGGGATCATAGAGGATACGCAAGTGGAAAGGTCCATAACCCTGACCCCAGGGCTGGCCGTCCTGGCTGCAGGTGAGTGTCAGGTGTGACTAGGGTGGCAGAAAGCCCTTCTCTGCGGCCATTCCTTTCCCTCGCTGTCAGGGCGAGCCAGAGACCCTCTCTCGGAAATAAGATACATCTGGCACAGGTGCCCCCCACACCTACAAGGGGAGCAGAAGGTAGGTATCACCCACCTTTCCTGCTGGAAGAGTCACCCAGGGCTTCTCCCTCCCCTGAAGCCACATGCCTCAGTCTCTCTGTTCTGAGGGCCTCCTGCCCACAGGGCCCAGGATATCAGAACCTACAGCCACACCTAGCACTGGGCACAGGTGGGGCCTCAGAATTCAGAATTCCCCTGTTTCCTTGTCCCCCTCAGCAAGCCAGTCCACCACTTTCACAGCAGTGCATTTCCGGTGTCATTCTGCTCAGAATTAATTTCCATGACAGGCATTCCCTGTTCCCAGCAGGTCTGCACATGCAAAACTGAACCAGGAAAGGCCGATTCCCGGAAAATAGGCTGAGGCCACAGAGCCAGGTCGGCAGCCAGAACAGCAGAAGCCTGCATTGCCCCAGGGGTCCTGGCCTGCTGCTCCCCCATCCTCAGCCAATCACACCACAGAGCTGGCACCTAGTAGGTGCTCATTAAACAGGGGACAAAGGGAAAGCCCACAGCAAATGGACTGTGCCCGGGGCTTGTCCTGAAAGTCTCCCCCACAGTGGGGATCTGAGCCCAGAAACAGATTTTACATGTGCAGGGAGAGCCCCAAGGCCGGCTCTCCACATCCTCAGCACAGACTCTGGCAGGGAAGGGGTCTCTCTCTGTGTCTGCTGACCTGGATCAGCTGGGCCGCAGTGTTGCCTCTGGTCCCCAGGAAGACCATGGCCATCGCTGAGGAGATGCTTAGGGGGGAGCAGAAGAGGTTCCCACGGGGGCTGTCTTCACTCAGGGTGCGGAACAGGTCCAGGGCGAAGGCGGAGTTGGCGGCGCTCAGCTGCTCCATGGCGAGGCTGCAACACAGACCCGAGCCTGCCTGGAAACTCGCAAGTAGTAAGGGGAAGGAGGGAGGCCCCGGGAGAAAATGAAGCAACCTGATCTCAGGCCTGCAGTCGCCAAGCCCAGCCTTCCTCCCCTCCCCACCCGCCTGGCCCAGAACTCCAGGGTGCAGAGGACCCCAGGCTGCACCGGGGTCCTGAGCTTGGTGCACAATGCAGGCAGCATGGGGAGCTCCCAGGGGAGCATCGAGTCTCCACCCAGCCAAGGCTATCCGGGCTTGGGCTGCTGGCAATCTCAGATGCTGGCCTCTGTTGCTCACCCCGACTGCATACAGCGCCTCTGTTTCCAGATCCTACCTGCTGCTGTGCTGGTTGGATCCTGAGGAAGGGCGA